CAGTCACAAGCCTGATGCTGCAATTCATAACCCTTATACAGCAGCTCCGTCCTCTGCCTGATCTCTGCTGCCACTCTAGCATTTTAGTTGCAAGAATGATACAATTCCGAAGTCATATCAAATACCGGAAAACCACAACCAGAAACACTGTATTTCACTATTAATACTTCACATAAAATTCACAGCCTAAAAACATCAGTTTGCATAACAGAACAACAGAACTGAATTTCCAACATTACTGCCTCTGTCCTAAGCTTGTTCTTTCTCCAAACTTGAGTAGTAGTATATTTAAAAAAAAAAAAAAAAAGTATTAGCCAACTCATTTAATAAAACAACTGGGTAAATTAAAGTGAAGATACACACATTTACATTTTAATTTTGAATTTGCTTACGTTTGTCTACTGGTACCCTAGCCTTAGAGAGCATGTTATGGTACATAAAAAACCCTAACATAAGCATCTTCTCCCTCAAAAATGTATCACTCTATATTTGGGACAGTATTTAAAGGCTTTATTTTGTCCTGTCATTAAAATAAAGATTTTTGAGGCAGACTTCCTAAGTGAAAAAAAAAAAAAAAAATTAGGCAAACCTGTAAATTCTGGTTTGGTGGGGGTGTTTTTCTTAAAAAGAAAATTACCTGTTACATATTTGGTCAGTTACCCCTTGCTGCGGAGGTTTCAGTGAGCACTTGCTGTTGTTAACCCAGAGAAGAATTCCTTATTTTTTCCACAGAACCAGGCTAAGTATAGTACCCAGACGTTAGACCCCCCCTTTTATTTTTATGTTTAATGCAGTGAGAGGTAAGTTTGCTTCCCTGCCTCCTCCCAAGTTGCTTTTCCAAGTAGACTTGCGCTTTGAACTGCACCCATTTTGCTCAGCTCAGTACATTAAAAGTAGACAGGGCAAAAAGCAGTTTTAACTTTTAATAAGATGAGACTCCGGGTTGAAAACAATTAATTATGAAGCCAGCACTAATGGCTGAAATTTTAGCAATCTCTGCAATACAGTAAAAGACTCTAAAGCAGTTTACCTACCCAGTAACTGAAGCACATCCACTCACAGTATTTAAGGTAACTGGTTATGACCAGGATTAAAATAGGTTCACTCTTGGAATTTCTATCTTGTCAGTCATCAGAGAGATTTTTTTCAGTGTAACGGCTTTCATCCGTAGAGGTTCAGAAATCCTCCTTATAGCTTATTTTATTTACAAAGACACTTCAAAGTTTGTCATAGAACAGAAAGACTTTTTCCCAATGGATGACTTTTCAGAAATATCAAGCTGAGGAAGAAGGGTACAGTTTTGCTTTTGGACTGCAAACATATGTTTGCTTGTAAATCTTTTTACTGTTATACAAACTCAATGTGTTTTAGGGATGAGGACCTGTTTCTGTGAGAGATTTCCACTGACAGTAATCTATGGCCCCGATCCTGCTTCTTACAGTTAAGTAGGAATTTTATCATCTACTTCCATGGGAGAGGTCTTATGAGTGCCAGCATTGAAATACACACAGCGTATTAGATACAGTTGGGGAAAGAAGAGAACTTACTGTCTTCCAGAATAAGTTACACAATTTCATAACTTATAACAACTTTATCAGTCTTAGACATTTGTACAGCACCAATCACCCAGAGTATTATCACTAAGGCACTGGACTGGTACTCCGCTGTCATGGGGTCTATCTCCAGGCCCGTGGTCAATTTCCTGTGTAATCATGGTTGTATCTTCTGGTTTTTCCTGGTATGTGGTTTTCCACATTGGAAAACAGGAGATAATACAAAACATCTGACATAATTTACAGAAATATTGTGCCACGACTAATTACAAGGTGCTCAGATTCTCAGGTGATGAACATTAATATTTCTGTGCATAGATTTACTGGTAGAAGAAAATTATCCTGCAGGTATCAATTATGTACAAGACGCTGGAACAGAATTAGCTTCAGTTCCTCTGGAGTTAATGACATGCTCTAAGTTAAATCCTATCCTCGATGCCATGATTCAAAGTAGTTTTTAGAGAAATGAAGATAAGCCCTCAGGCAGGGCTCCTGTCTGTGACAACAGATCCAGTGTGCTTTCATATGCTTTTGCATCAAAGTCTGCTCCTGACAACTCACAGAACTCCAGTTTCAGCCTCTAAGAGAGCAGTTTTTGATGCTTTCAGAAGCAGCTGAGTATTTTTTTCGTCTGTAGTGGATTTACCTCTCCACATTATTGGGGGAAAGAAAAAAAAAACCCACAACAAACCCTTCAGGGAGTTATCACTATTCTGCTGCATCACACTGGCTGCTGAGTATGTGTACTGATGTACAAATTCCTAAAAGTTCTTGGGTTGAAATAAGTTACTGCAAATGCACAGTAGCTGATTTTGAAACCACAACATCTCTACAATTTATTATTATTTTTTACAAAATACCCAAAGTGATCAGACCATATTGTAGGTTACTGGCTTGCCAAAGGTTATGTTTTAAAATCAAAACCATTTCTGAGTTACAGAAGTGCCAAAAACAATCTTGAACCAGGTTTGTTTGTTGTTTTTGTTGTTTTTTTTAAACCAACCCCCATCCAACAAAACAGTTGTATAACTTAAAACAGAAACAAGGGTTTGTGTTGGAAACTGTTTAAAAACCAACCCACCAGATCATGCTTGAGCAGAAGCCTTGTACGGCAAAGATTTAGCTTAGGGCAATTTAGTGCCAAGATATAGACCCTCTATGGGTTTATAATGGAAATACTGACACAACCTCAACTATAGTGATGCAAATGTGCCCTAAAACACTGTATTTGCTTTTATTAATAAAAGTGGTAGTGTTTACATTTGCAGATATCTTACACTTCAGCATCATGATGAATACTGAGTAGAATGAGTTAAGTTTTGGCTGTAAGGTCAGAAGTTTCCAAACAGATGAATGAGACAGAAGTGAAAGTCCTCAATCATGAAAACAAGAAGTTCAAATAAATAAATAAAACAAAACTAGGAAATATGGGTAAGCATTAGGTTGGAATGGTTCAATTAACTGCAAATTATGGCCACTAAATTAGAGACAGAAGAAAACACAGTTACTTATTAAATAGCAAGCATTAAAGCTTTATGGTTTTGTATTTAAAAAAAAAAAAAAAGCTGTTAAAAATAAGACTTGCATTTACCAGGCCACCAAACTGCATGGACTAATAAAGAGACTAACAAAGGCAATACTGAGACATTAAGACACACACACACTCCATACTTGTGCAACTCAACCATATTCAAAACAATTGCCTTTTTCCTCACTTAAGGAAAAAAAAAGCAACCCCTAAACATTTCTGTTCATATAAAGCTTTAGGTTTCTTAAACTGTTGCTGTCTTACATAGTTAATTGTTATTATGTATCCTTCTCATTATCCAAGGAAAAAGCTTATTTTTGAAAATTTTTTTTAACGGAGGTGCTTTGTTTCTCTCGGATGAGAGATTACATTCCTCACACCACTACAGGTGTTCCCCATTTATACACTTGGTGTTTACACCAACTCCTCCTAGGCTTAAAAAGATAAGGGTTGGCCCTAAATGAAAGATTTTGGCTCCTGTAACTAAAATTAAGGCTCACAATGAATTTCCTTTCCACTATGTGTGTGCCATTTTTACCTAGTGGAAACACCAGCCCTTAGCCTACAGGCACTGGATACATTCTTAAATTGCAGGGGGCCATTTTCGGTCATGTTCTCCTACAGTTCTGCAAAGCTCAGGTGGCAACTTTCTAAACCTGCGAACAGGAAAGATCATTTTTAAAAGATGAGTAAGAAACTGCAGCTACAATTTCTAGACAATTTAGTGTCTTCTGGAACATCGCTAGTAATTTTGAATTAAGAGAGATGGGACAGTCACTCCATCAAGTCCCTACTCTTTACGTGAAAATGGGCTAGGTGATTAATTGTCATTTAAAAGTTTAGCCACAAAAGCAATGAAAACTCACAATTCTGACAGTTGCAGTTCTTAGTTTTAAAAAGGCATCTGATACCTGAAGCAAATCTAGCTGCACAGACATCACTGACCACACCCTAATTTTAATTTAAACTGGACCTCTTCCCAAAAAAAAGAAAGTTAACACAGTCTCTTGGGTAGAGGGAAGCTAGTGTGAAAGGCAGAGAGGCAAGTATTTTGGTGTTTTTTGTTTTGTTTCTTTTGTTTTCCTTTCAAAGTCACTGCAGTGAGATCCAGATCAGTTTAGGGGTGTAAATGAAGGGGGAACAGGGGTGTTTGAGTAATATAGGCTAACACTGTTCTAGATGTGTTATTACAGCTGTAATTTCTGACTCTGTACAAATTGTACACGTAGGTTTAGACACATGAAAAAAGTAACACACTCACAGAGACATAAAACACCTAGGTATAAAATATAAAGCAGTGTAGTAGTTACTAAAATTACATGCTCTCTTATTGCTACAGTGATTTTTGCTCTTTTTCTTTTTACTGTACCACATGTTGTTCTAAGCATATAATTTGCATAAATTATTCAAGTTTAAGAAAAATCCACACATCTTCACTTTAAGCTACTTATATAGTTAATATAAAACAAAAAGGTTCTAAAGTATCTCTTTATTAAAAGAGAAATAAAAATGTCACTCGAAACTGGAATTCAGTGGCCAAATCCAAGGGCAGTGCACACCTTGTCATTCTGGTGGTAGTATGCCCACGCAGCGTGAGTGGAGGTTGGTGGGGTATTCGGCCCAGTCTAGAGATGGTCACCAGACCTGCATGATGCCCTATGTGTCTGTTATTGTTCTGGTTTTGTCTTTAGCAAAGAGGACTATGAATGACCAAAGACTAACATTTATAATTTGTAGCAAAATTTGGTTTATGTAGAAACAAGCCATGTTTTGCATTTGGATAGAGATTTAAATGAATTAAAGCTAAAAATTAAAAAGCATGATGCTGCAACATCTGGTCACTTGTTGAAGACCTCACTTTTAAAGTGTTTAAGTTTGCACAATTTTTACTTTTTTTTTTTTTTTTTTTTTTTTTTTTTTTTTTTTTTTTTTTTTTTACTAAACAGTATTTTTCCTTCTTTTATAAACCAGAAAAACTAAACTACAGATAAATTTTCCCTACCTTGAGCTAATGCTGCAGATAGGGTTGACAAAGCTGTACAGCGCAATCAAACATACTTACATCTTAGCTCATTGTACAGGTACAGCCATAATCAAGGCACAAAGATCTTCTACAAGTTATTTTTTTTTCAATAAAGTTGTACAAAATAATACATTTTACAGTCTGTACAAGAATAATAATCCAGCAGTAAAATAAAAAATGAGGGGAGGGAAGAAGAAAAAGAAGGGAAAGACTGTGAGGACTACAGTCCAGATAATGATTTTTATAGCAGACGGGATCATCAGTGGACAAACTGAAAACAGTGTGTGGTTAACTCTTTCTGCAATCACAGGCCATACGCAGTTCAATTCATAAATGTCCATGGTTGTCTTTAGACCACCAAGACTGGTTTTAAAAATACCCTTCTGAAAGGTAGCTGTTGGTTTTTGCACTGTCTAGGTCTGTTGTAGAATTGTCAGTATTTCCGTTCAAAGCCACATTACAGTCAGAGAACCAAACTCAAGTGTCTGTCTTCAAACTTGGTCTGTGACTTGGCACCTTCTTTAGTCTGATGCAGTGAATGATACAAAGTGGAGATCATGGGTTATACGATTATGCCCACAACAGTGCTAAATTACCTAAAGTTTTCTCTCCCCAATTTTTGTTTTATCTTTTAAATTTTTTATCCCCAATTCTTTCAGGTGCTCCACATTCAGGGCTTTTAATTAATTAGTTTTTATTTCTTTTTTTTTTTTTTTTTCTCTTTTTTGTTAATAACAGTGTTAGGGAATCCTCATGGAAATGGCCTTTTAAGTGTTAGGGGCCATCTCAAACTGTCCGAGGGGTACAGAAGCAAGCTTAGAAGTGCTGCTATTGTCCAGCAAGGAGAAAAAGTTGAGGGGTGCAAATCAATGGGAGATTCAAACAGTTCTCTTCCACCCTATGTGGGCAAGGGTGTTTTTTTTTCTTTTTTTAATAAGGAATAAGGAGTCCAAAACACAGAAAAAAGTGCTCTCCATCACAACAACTCGTATTGGCGAAGGTGCATGCGCTGAATAATGTCCCGACAGTCATTGAAAACCCTCCGGATGTTCTCTGTATCCACTGCACACGTGAAGTGAGGATAGCAATAGTGCCTTCCATCTCCACTTGCTGTGCTGATTCTCTGTTAAAGTAAGAGAGATACTGGGTTAAAATAAAACTGACTGGGGGAAAACCCCCATGTTCTCAAAACTCAGATGAATGAAGGTTAAGAAACATTTGTGTGACCCGTGTTTTCAAAGGGTGTAACCAAGTGGCAAAATGCCCACTATTTTTTACTCTCTCATCTAAACCACGGAATTTAAAATGATTAGAATTATATGGTGAGAAGGTCATTGCATACCGGGGAATTTCAGAGTTGAACGAGAACTCAAGAAAATGCTATTATTTATACACAGCTTTGGTGAATTTAGCCACACAACTCCTAGTCAATTTGTCCATGAAGAGAGTGGGATTTTGCCTCCTTGTACACAAGACTTTTATCCCTGCTTTACGCTTACGGGAAGCCTCTCTCAAAATTTTATTTTGCTCCATTTTAAAATGAGTCCCAATTTGGTTGCTGTGCTCACCACTACAAGTAATTGTCATAATGTTTAAAAAAACCTATGTCTATTAGCTGACCAGTAATGGGAAAGATAATATGAAAAGAACATTAATATTTTACAGATGATGCACCTTTTGATTAGTTTTTTTATCTTTAGAAATGATGCATGGAATAAAAACCTGGCCCCATTAATAACAGCAGGACTTCACTCATCATTCTATTTGAGGTTTCTTAACTCTCACCAATTCTTTTGCTATTTAATTATGTACTGTGTCAACAAACAAATATCCAAAGAGCAGCCACCAAACGGCAGTAAAGCTGTTTTATGCAGTGTGGATGTTAAATATAAACAACACAAGAAGTGACAGCATTTTGTGATAGTAGAAGGTGCGTAAGAGCTTATATTTGAAAAGAATCACGTAAGAAATACTGAAAGAAAGGAAATACTTACAAGAAACTCGTCTCTAATAAAATACTTGGCCCTTGTAACTCTGGGATCCTCACCAGGCTCTGGTGTTGCTGATTAATAATAAAATAAGTATCTCATTAAAACAGATGGGTTTTGGTGATAGCACCTAGCAATCATGACCTGTTCTGTTTTCTGCTCACATATGATAGAAACATACTTTGCAAAACGTACTATGAGATAAGACAAACCATAACATATTATTTAAAACAGCAAAATTTCAGGAGAACAAAAGAATATTGCAGTGGCCATAGTACCGGGCATTTGGCAGGTTATGACCACAGATATGACTAGGGGGAGTCCAGAGGACAAGCTGTACTGTGGCCTACCCCAGCAAAGTAACAGGATTTTGGCATGATGAAATTCTTAATACGTTAAATGTATAAAAGACAAGATTCTCTCATTATTAATACCTAAAATTTAATGTTACAGTTTGGCTGAAAGACAACAAAGATTACATCTACTTAAGAGTTTTCAAGTCTTGGCTGAAATTACCAAAAACATTACAAACGTGATTAACAAGGAAATGATAAATTGCTAATAAAACTTAAAAATCTTACCATCATCTGGTGTAGTGTAGCGAGCAAATTCTGGAAAGTAGTCTTCAATTTTAGATTTCCCTGCCAAAACTTTCTCTGCTAGCAAATCTTGTTTATTCAGGAAAAGAATTACTGAAATGGTCCGTAGCCACCTGTAGAAAATTGAAACCAAACACTCTGAGAAAGCACAGCTAGGATCACAGCAAAAAGAGACTGAATCCAGTTCTGGAGACAATAGTCATATGACACACTACAATAATTTTGAAAGGCTCCTTTTATACCTGAATCCAATGGTGTAATTCTGGGTGTACACACCCTGAGATCGGTTTGTGTGCTTCTAGTGTGGGCAATGAAAAGTTGCCACTTTCTACTGCTAATCCAAATACATCAAATAGGTGAACATATGCACTTTTTAGTACGCTACTCTATCACTGCCTTAATTACTTCACCCTCAATATGGCAGCTACCAATTTGTAACTCTCCAGAGTTTTCTTCAATTAGACAAGTGTATTAGACATTGATGTAACAGGTAGGCAGTTGTGATCAAAGACCAGCCTGGACTGTGCTGTGAGAAGCAAATAACACAGGCTAGGGTTAACCCCGGTGGGCAGCAAAGCACTGCGCAGCCGCTCTCTCACTTTCCCCCTCAGTGGGACAGAGGAAGAAGAAAGGAAGGATAAAGGCAAGAAAACTTGGGCGTCAAGATAAAAAAATATAAATAATAATTGGTTAATAAGCGAAGGATAAGTGGAAGAGAGACGAAAACAAAACAAGTGATGCAAAAGCAATCACTCGCCACCTCCCATAGGTAGATCAATACCCAGCAAGATGGCCAACGCTCCTAAACCCCCCCGCCCCCCTTTTCCCTTTTATTGCTGAGCATAACGTTATATGGCACAGAATACCTCTTTGGTTAGTTTGGGTCATCTGCCCGCTTGTGTCCCCTCCCAGCCTATTGTGCACCCCCTATCTATTCACTGGGAGGGGGCAGAGTGAGAAACAGAGGCGGCCTTGATGCTCTGCAAACACTGTTCAGCAACAGCTACAACGTTAGCGTGTTATCAGTATTGTTTTGGTCAAAATCTAGAAGACGGCACCATATGAGCTGCTATGAAGAAAATTAACTGTATCCTAGCCAGACCCAGTACCCAAGTCTTGACTATACTATATAACATAGGGTTACTAATTTATGTGATATGAGCAATGAAACTTCAATGCACAGACCTGTTGTTCCAGATACTCTTGAAGAGGTTTAGTGCTTCTTGAAGCCGATTGGTCTGATTGTCCTCTCGTATAACCATGTTGTAGCTACTGCTCGCCACCACAAATATGATAGCAGTCACATCTAAATCAAGAAATACACATTAGTTAATACTAAACTTCAGAAGAAATATCCAGGAATCCCAAAGTTCAATAAAAAGCTGCCAGACTTTCCGCTTCACGAAGAGAACAGGCTAGAACGCTATTGCTGACAGCTTTCTAAGTTCCAGAAGTAAAAAAAAGAAAGAGAAGAAACTGTTAAAGATAGGAAAGGCAGGCCACAGAACAGAAGTTGACAGAATGACAGAAAACGTAGAAAAAGGAACAGAAGCGAGAGAGAGAAACTGAAGAAAGCTATGAGGAGAATTTAAAGAAGATTTAAAAGGTGTAAAGAAATTTAGAAAGCAGCTCTAAGCTATTAATGACAGGGAGGCCCTTGGTGGAAGATATCAGGACAAATGGGACTTTTGACCTGTGTGAACAGTCGTAATAAAAATAGTAGGTTGCTGTGAATTCATGGTTAATTGCTCTAGGCCTCCTATAGTGTACTATACTGCTTAGAGGCCCCCGTCTCTCTCCTGGGAGATATTCCCAGGACCACAGAGTCCAGATCTCTTGTGTTTCCGTGTGGCTGTGCTGCTCCAGACCCCTTACGCTGACTTCCAGGCTCATCTACCTCAGACATCAACAGCAGAAGAGATGAGTCAGATCACGAGGTAACAGGAAGAGGAAGGAGCAGAGGTAAAACCCAAACAAAGCTGTTATTAATAGCACGGAAGAAAATATCGCACAGTAGTTCCACACATATGTAAAGTGTTCAGGTGATACTCTATGACAGTAACCATAGCAAAATACAATGAATTCTAAAGTTGCATTCTACTTTATCTATTCTGTAGGATCTCATTATAACTTTTCTGCAAAGAGATAGATTTTTGCATAGCTTCAAAAATATTTTGCCCAAACAACAAAGAAAAAGACAGAAGTATTTTCACCAACTCTAGCTTTAAGAAAAATTGTGTGAAGAAAAGTTTTCACATCTGAACAGAGATACAGAGTAAAATAAATGGCTGTAGTGAAGGTACATGCAACACTTCAGGATACACACAAAACTACCCAGCTTAAATTGTATGGGAGTTAAGAATAGTATCACCTGAACTAAACGGAGGGGGACATCAGGGTTAAGACTCCAGATCTTACAAAATGCCTGCAGACGTTTCAGGTCTTACCCCTGTCTAGACTGGTGCATTCTGCATATGTCAGCATTCTAAGGAATCTAGCTTATGTGCAGGTTACTTAAATGAGGGTATTTGTTTGTATGTTTTCAGTAAGGGCCTTCCCCTCAGGGCTGTTTTCCAAGAAGTTACATTAATATGCATGGCTCCATAGAAAAGTGCAGATTTATAAATTCCATCATAAACTTTTTTGACAGGGGAATTTTGGGGCTACCCTATACAATGCTGTAGTACATTACATACCGTATGCGACACCATGTCCAACAAGACAGATGTTCCCTACAATCTCATATTGCATTAATGGGTCAGTGCTGATTCGGAAAGAAGCATCCGTGACATAGCAATGTGGCTGCAATTATGTGCAAAAATACGATATTCTGATTTTATGCATATAGTAATTATCCTGTAATTGTGTATTTTGTATAGGCACAAACATACGTAAACCTTCACTTGGAAGACAGAATATAGCTTGGAATTTAACACTCACACAGCTGGCAAATAATGCACAAACTCACAACCAAAGAAGAAAACGAAACCCCCAAACCCCTAATTAAATGAAGACAGGGAAGCTGAAGAAAATGGACAAGCTATGTTAAACTTGAATCACTTTCCACCTATGTTCTCCCTAAAGATGTTCTATGCAGTTACAGAAGTTTGCATGTGAAGAAAAATTCTATCCCGTGTGACTGTTCAGATAATTCCTTATCAAACTACATGGAAAGAAGATGGCTTTCACAAAGTGATAAAATTAAGATTGGGCATTCAAATTTTGCAGAGAACTATTTTATAAAACAAAACATAAATTCTAATCATACCATTAAAACACTGGATCCATTTTCGGCGTTCATCTCGTTGCCCTCCAACATCAAACATACTAAGACAAAAACATAAATCGAGTCAGAATACATTTTGTGTTTGGGTTTTTTTTCCCCCCCAAATGTGAACAGAAAATGTAAGAAATTCTGGGACTTCCATGTCATAGAAGCTAAAAGGAACCGAGGATTATGAGAACCTGAGCAGGTAACAGTCCACCAACACATGCACACAGACCTTTCATCACAAAATGTAATTATGTTTACTTTCATCAACACCTACACTTGACGGTAAGAAATTCTGGTGTACTTACGTTGCAGATTCATTTTCACCCTTACAAGCTAAAACACTAAAAAAGGTCCTACAGCAAGTCATTTGCTGAAACAAGTATCACAGCTCTAAAGTCAACAAGACCAGACTAAAACTCAGCAGTTTTTGTGCAGCTCAAGCAACCTTTCTAACCTGGGACAGTGAAGAGAACATGGATTCTGTGTTACCTAGATACGTACAAAGTTTTTGGTCAAATACTTCACTATATAAACTAGCAATGAATCAAATACTCAGAAAAGGCATTAATAAAAATAGATTTAAAACATTTTGTTCTTTGCAATTTAAAATAAAACCAGAAAATTGCACACCAATTTGCATTTCTTTTTAAAGCCAGACTCCTAAATTAAAAAAATCGTAAAATATTTGCCTTCTATTAAACATCAACTTAAGAAATACAGTAGTCTCAAGGTCTATATGGTAGACTGTCCTCCAATTTACCCTGGTATCTGTCTGCATTGTATTTAAAAAAAAAAAAAAAAAAATAAGGATACTTACTGAAAATTTACTTTATCCACTTGAAACTTGGTTTCAAAAATTCCTGATGTCAAAACTCTGCATCTGAGAAGATCCTAGAGCATAAAGGAAAAGTCATTGATTCAACACAGATACTTCATAATTCTTCATATATCCAGCAACAGAAATAAAAACCTTTTACCTAGCGCTGACAGTGTATGCTGTACTGCAAAAACAGGGAACAGAGCATTATGAAGCTGCATTTAAGGTTTCGATCTTGAACACGTGTGCACACATATGGGTGCGCTCAACTTTTGAAGTACATACATTTTTGCAAGCAGGTTGTAAGTGGCAAGCTTGGAATAGGAGGAAACATTTACAGGCCACTTAAAGCAAACACAAGTGTTCAGAACAGCGCAGACCCATCCCCAGAGATTAGATGAGGCATTCACAGATTTCAGTGGGATTGTGGCACACAACAGGATCTTTAAACTACCACCAAATAATTCCCAACCCCAGAAGATGGATCTCTCCCCCAACTGTTCAGTGCTTGGCTATTAAAAGAAGTGTCTAGGTCTCAGAATCTTCCATTTTTTTCCTTCAAAGAACTGGAAGCTCAACCACTTAAATCTTATAAGAATTGGGCTTTTCAGAGATAAAATTTGAAATTTCCTGTAGAGACAAAAATGGTAATCAGAAGTTGTAAGCTACAAACAACTGAAATTGTTATAAGCACTACAAAATCCTATTAAAAACAAACTGCATTGGCTTTTATTTACTGCATATTGCAAAGCAGTGACAGCCATATACAGTGCGTAGTGGGTAACTGATCTAAAAGAACCTAATTTGCACAGGCTGCAGACTGAGTACGCGGTCCAAATATAACTAACTACAAAATAGCACTTTGAATTCAATTGAAGGTTTTATATTTTAGGACTTAAAGTTTTGGTGTTCTTCACAATGGGTCTAAATAGCAGATAAATTGTAACATCTGCAGCAGACGAGATCATGTAAGCGGAACAGACTGTAAAAAAAAATTATACGCACAATAAAAGCTCTGTTCTTACTACACAGGTACCAAACTGGTTAGTCAAAATCAAAACCACACAAAATCCAAAGGTTAGACAACACTGTTAAATCATTAAACAAAATGGCTACATTTTAACATCAGTTTTCTGATAGTAAATTATTGTTGTCTGGCCAGTTCAATACTCATATTGAAATATGTATATATTTAAACATTGTTCTAACTTGTGTTTGAAACAGTTTGAAAATTCGAATGCCCCAATAAACAGAAGCAAATTTGGAAAACTGGCCTCTTTGGAGCTCTGAATCTCTAGAAATCAATACAAGTATGATGCTTA